GACAGACAGAGACAAGAGACAGACGGGGACAGACAGACTGAGACAGAAGAGACACCAAGACAGATAGACAGAGACAGATGGACAGACAGAAACAAAAGACACACAGAGACAGACTGAGACAGAAGAGATCCAGACAGACAGATGTACACACACAGACGGACAGGAAGAGAGTCGGACAGAGACAGACAGACATGAGACTGGTAGACAGACCCAGGGAGAGACAGAGATAACAGACAGACAGACGTCAACACAGACAGACAGAGACAAAAGACAGAGACAAACAGAGATGTGGAGACAGACAGACGTCAACACAGACAGTGATGGAACAGACAGACAGACAAGATCGATGGACAGACAAGAGACAGAGATAGAGAAACCCAGACAGACAGATGGAGATGTACAGACAGATGGAGACACAGAGACAGACAGGGAAAGACAGAACAGACAGAGAGACATGAGACCAATGGACAGATAACAGACAGAGACAGAGAGACACAGACAGAGACAGACAGAGACACAGAGACAGGGAGAGACTGACAGAGGTAGATGGACAGAGACAGGCAGATGTCAACACAGACAGAACAGACAGACAGAGATAGACACAGAGACAGACAGAGACACAGACAGACAGACACAGACAGACAGACAGACAGGGACACAGACAGACAGATACAGACAGACAGAGATAAGAGACAGACAGAGGGAGACAGACATAAGAGACAGACACAGACAGACAGACACAGAGGCAGACAGGGAGAGACAGACCAGACAGACAGACATGAGACCAATGGACAGATAACAGACAGAGACAGAGAGGCAGACAGACAGACAGATAAGAGACAGACAGACAGATGTCAACACAGAGACAGACAGACAGGGAGACAGACAGAAAGCTAAAGACAGAGAGACATGGAGAGACAGATGGACAGAGACAGACAGACAGACAGAGCAGGCCTTCCCGGTCTCTTTTTCCTTGTGTCTCTCGACTTCCTGATCATATTCCTGTTGGTTGGTGTTTTCCTTCTTCCTCTTCTGTCTCCTCTTCCTCTTCCATCTCCTCTTCCATCTCCTCTTCCTCTTCCATCTCCTCTTCCTCTCCTCTTCCTCTTCCATCTCCTCTTCCTCTCCTCTTCCTCTACCATCTCCTCTTCCTCTCCTCTTCCTCTTCCATCTCCTCTTCCTCTCCTCTTCCTCGTCCGTCTCCTCTTCGATCTCCTCTTCCTCTTCCATCTCCTCTTCCTCGCCTCTTCCTCTTCCGTCTCCTCTTCCATCTCCTCTTCCTCTTCCATCTCCTCTTCCTCTTCTGTCTCCTCTTCCTCTTCCGTCTCCCCTTCTGTCTCCTCTTCCTCTTCCATCTCCTCTTCCATCTCCTCTTCCGTCTCCTCTTCCGTCTCCTCTTCCATCTCCTCTTCCATCTCCTTTTCCTCTTCCATCTCCTCTTCTGTGTCCTCTTCCATATCCTCTTCCTCTTCCATCTCCTCTTCTATCTCCTCTCCGGTCTCCTCTTCCATCTCCTCTTCCTCTTCCATCTCCTTTTCCTCTTCCATCTCCTCTTCCTTCTCCTCTTCCATCTCCTTTTCCATCTCCTCTTCCTCTTCCATCTCCTTTTCCTCTTCCATCTCCTCTTCCATCTCCTCTTCCATCTCTTCCGTCTCCTCTTCCATCTCCTCTTCCATCTCTTCCGTCTCCTCTTCCATCTCCTCTTCCTCTCCTGTCTCCTCTTCCATCTCCTCTTCCATCTCCTCTTCCGTCTCCTCTTCCGTCTCCTCTTCCGTCTCCTCTTCCGTCTCCTCTTCCGTCTCCTCTTCCTCTCCTGTCTCCTCTTCCGTCTCCTCTTCCGTCTCCTCTTCCGTCTCCTCTTCCTCTTCCGTCTCCTCTTCCGTCTCCTCTTCCTCTCCCGTCTCCTCTTCCGTCTCCTCTTCCATCTCCTCTTCCTCTTCCGTCTCCTCTTCCTTTTCCGTCACCTTTTCCTTTTCCATCTCCTCTTCCGTCTCCTCTTCTATCTCCTCTTCTGTCTCCTCTTCCATCTCCTCTTCCTCTTCCATCTCCTCTTCTGTCTCCTCTTCCATCTCCTCTTCCTCTACCATCTCCTCTTCCATCTCCTCTTCCTCTTCCATCTCCTCTTCCTCTTCCCCTTCCTCTTCCCCTTCCTCTTCCTCGTGTCCATGTCCTTCTTCCTCTTCCTGTTCTTCTGATACATCTCCTTCCTCTTCCCATTCTCCTTCCTCTTCCTCCCTGTTGTCTCCCTGACCCCCACAGGTCGCCTCACATCCTTGAACCTCCATCCCCGGGCCTCCAACTTCCAGCCTCCATCCCTGGCCTCCATCCTTGGGCCTCCACCCCCTTGGACCTCCATCTCCAGCCTCCACTCCTGGCCTCCATCCCCAGCCTCCACCCCATTTGGCCTACTTTCCTCTATCCACAGGGCCTCCATCCCTAGCCTCCACCCTCCTGGGCCTCCTTCCCTGGGCCTCCAACTTCCAGTCTCCATCCCCAGCCTCCACCCCATTAGCCTCCATCCCTGGGCCTCCATCCCCAGCCTCCAATACCTCTGGGCCTCCTTCTCTGGCCTCCAACTTCCAGTCTCCATTCTTCAGCCTCTACCTCTGGCCTCCACCTTCCTGGACCTCCATCCCCAGCCTCCATACCTGGCCTCTAACCCCTAGGCCCCCATCCCTGGACCTCCACTTCCCTTAGGCCTCCATCCCTGGGCCTCCACCCCCTGGGCCTCCAACTTCCAGTCTCCTTCCTCAGCCTCCACCCCTATCCTCCACCCTGTTGGACCTCCATCCCCAGTCTCCACCCTGGCCTCTAATCCATAGGCCTCCTTCCCTGGGCCTCCAACTTCCAGCCTCCATTTCCCTGGGCCTCCATCCCCAGCCTCCCCCCCTCCATCCCAGCCTCAGGATGGGGGGCCCCCGCCCCTGGGCCTCGCTGCTGCTGCTGCTGCTGCTCCTGTGTGGCCCCCACCCAGCCCCCGCCACCCGCTGCCCCAGGACCTGCGCCTGCTACGTCCCCACCGAGCTCCACTGCACCTTCCGCAGCCTCAGGGCCGTGCCCCACGTGCTGGACCCCAAGATGGAGCGTGTGAACCTGGGGTGAGGCCTGGGAAAAGGGGGGAAGGAAGGGAAGGAAGAGGAAGGAAGGAAGGAAGGAAGTAAAGAAGGAGGGAAGGAGGGAAGGAGGGAAAGAAGGAAGGAGAGAAGGAGGGAAGGAAGGAGGATGGAGGGAAGGAAGGGAGGATAGAAGGAAGGAAGGAAGGAGGGAAGGAAAGAAGGAAGGAAGGAGGGAAGGAAAGAAGGAAGGAAGGAGGGAAGGAAGGAGGGAGGGAAGGAAGGAGGGAGGGAGGGAAGGAAGGAGGGAAGGATGGAAGGAAGGAAGGAGGGAGAGAAGGAAGGAAGGAAGGCAGGAGGGAGGGAAGGAAGGAAGGAGGGAGGGAAGGAAGGAAGGAAGCGAGGGAGGAAAGGAAGGAAAGAAGGAAGGAAGGAAGATGATGATGAGTAATGATTCATTATTCTTGACCCTGACCCGGAAACAAAAGTCCTGCCCTCCCAGCGCTGGTTTTCAGGCTGGTTTCCTGATTTCCTCTTCCTGTCCTCTCATCTGTTGAATTAGGTTCAACCACATCCGGGTCCTGACGCACGCTTCCTTCTCCGGTCTCGCGAGACTTCAGCTGCTGCTGCTGCACGGAAACGAGATCGCAGACATCACCAAGGGCGCCCTGAGCGACCTGGGTGCACTGCAGGTGCGCAGGGAGTGGGCGGAATTGGAAGGAAGTGGAAGGAAGTT